AAAAGAGATATCAGTAGCTAACATAATTGCGTTGTTTTCCAAATATGGGTTTTGAATATACAACATAGAGCACTAACTCCTACTTTTTAAAATTTACATCTTATTTTACTAGTTATAAACTTCAAACATCACATCTTTTTTCTATTCTAAGAAAAAAAATTTTTGTTTCGTTTTTTCACAACCAAGTAACAGGAAGATAAACATTTTCTAATAGATAGATTTTTTTTTAAGACACTGAAATAATTAAAATCAATAGAAAACTTTGAAAATTGTCCCACAGTAAGCTTAAGTCAACTTCCCAAAGCACTTGAAACACGGCTGCCCTCAAGCTCTTCCTAAACACCCCCCGCCACCTTGCTTTAGCTGAACAGCGATGTTCCAGAGCAAACTGCCTTGGCTGCAGTCTTGTTAGGTGGACATTGCGATCATTCCGAAACATACAGTGGTAGGAGGAATCAATGACCTTCTCCAGATCAAAACTCTGAACTCAATCACCTGCCTCTCCTATACTTGCAGCAGAAAATCTGAAAAAAAAAACTGGGGGCGGGGGGGGGGGGAAAATCATAAAACTAGGCAGAATTCTATCGCTATAAATTAAAAGTCAACACTATCCAGCAATCTTATTATGTTTTTCTAGTGAAAAAGCTCTTTCACTTTACAAAATGCTTATTTTCAAGCCTTCTCTCCTCTTCTCGAACTTTCAACATACTCACATTCTATTCACCTCACCCCCTCATTCTCAACAACCTCATACTTCACACACACAAAAATACAAGTCCTCAAATTTCCCCTTCTTTCAAAAGCCAATCCCTCTACCCTTCCACAGCTTTTCAAGGATCGTCCTCGGTCCATCAGATACATCTACCCATGCCCCACCACCAGCCCCGCTGAATCGAAATAGCCCTCCCACCCTCCTGCACTGTCTCAGTAAGCATCAGCACTCAGACATGCTTGAGATTCTCTCATCTTTGAAACAACCAAGGATCTCTGACTCTCCTGGCCCCTACAGTTGTCACCCTCTCTATTCCCCTATACGGCAAAGTTCTCCAAAAGAGTTGCTACATGCAATGGGGATCATCTTCATTCTCAATTTCCACTCCTTGGTCACTGACAACGGGAGTCATACCAAGCACAGAAATTTAGAAAAACCACCATTTTTATAATGCTTGGTTTTCCCTTCCAAGGTACAACTCTCCAGGTTTTTTAAACCTTCCATTGTATTTCCCAAAGTCTTATAGATTTCCTCTCCAGAACACAATATCAAGTAACTGTGTTTTAGATGGGTGTGAGCTCGTAATTACAGCCAGCACTCATACAATATCAGAAACACGATTCTAGTATTCTCTAAAAGAAATCTGTGATTCTCCCAAAAATGTATAAAAGACCTAACAAGTCCCACATTGAAATTTTTCAGTAATAATATTTATGAAGGATTATAGAAAAACTATTGGACTAAACTCATTATTTAAAACTGCCTAAACAATTGTCAACAGAAGCCCATGGCTGAGGCAAAAAGTAAATTAACTGGAACAATATTTGCATGAGTAACATTGCAGAGGCTGTGGCAACCCCAGAGAAATTTTTGATTTTTAAAAAACTACCTGACATGTCACCTTCAAAAGGAAAGAAAAAAACATTTCAAATCTTTTATTTTTAGGAATTAAATGTTAAAATGCGTTCAAATCCTAAAAACGCTGTACTGGTACAAACACGAGCCTGTGCAGTTTGGAAGCATTTGTGAAAAAGCAAGCTATATTTCTGTTATTACTGTTGTAACAACCAACTTTTCTTTGGGAATATACGTAAATATTTCAGAATGTATATTCAAACAAACTATCCAATTAAAAAATGGGCAGAGGATCCGAACATTTTCCCAAGAAGACACACAGATGGCCAACAGGCACATGAAAAGGTGCTCAAGACCACTAATTACCAGGGAAATGCAAATCAAAATCACAATGAGATATCACCTCATGCCTGTCAGAATGGCCGTTATCAAAAAGAAATAAAAAGTGTCGGAGAGGATGTAGAGAAAAGGGAACGCTTTGTGCACTGGAAATGCAAAGTGGTGCAGCCACTATGGAAAATAGTATAAAGGTCCCTCAAAAAATTAAGAATAGAACTACCATATGATCCAGCAACTCCACATCTGGGTATTTATCTGAAGAAAATGAAAACACTAATTTGAAAAGATATTTGCACCTAAGTGTCCATCAATGGATGAATAGAGAAAATGTCACACAAACACACACGGAATAGTACTCAGCCATAAAAGGGAATCTTGCCATTTGCGATGACATGGATGGACTTTGAGGGCATCCTAAGTGAAATAAGTCAAAGACGAATGCCATATAATCTTTCTTACGTGGAATCTAAAAACAAAAAACTGAGCTTGTAAATACAGAGAAGAGACTGGTGGATGTAAGAAGTAGGGGCTGGCAGGGGTAAAATAGGTGAAGGGGTCAAAAGGTACAAACTTCCTGTTATAAATAAGTCATAAGGATGTGACGTACAACATAGTGACTACAATTAATAATACTGCACTGGATATTTGACAGTTGCTAAGAGAGTTAGACCTTAAAGTTGTCATCACAAGAAAAAAAAATTTTGTAATAGAGTATGGTGACAGATGTTAACTAGACTTACTGAGATTATTTTACAATATATACAAATACTGAATCGTTATGTTGTATACCTGAAGCTAATGTTATATGTCAATAATATCCCAATTTAAAAAAATGTATATACATTCTGTATATTTAGGTTATGATAGGGTTCTCCCCAAATCGTTTTCCAAACCTAATAAAACAAATTACCAATTTCTAGGGTCTAGAATAAGTTTTAAGAAAGCTGCAATCTAATAGTAAAATACCCTCCTCTGGAATCCAAGCAAACAGCAGTAAAAAGCACAAGTAATGTCCTCCGTCAAGGACTTCACAGGAATATGACGAGAACCAATCTATTAAAGCATGCAATCCACATCGAAATGAAAAATTGCATGTAACATTTTTTCTCATTTTCAGTTTATAAGATACGAATTATTTTAATACCAGTGAATAAGAACACAAATCAATGAAACATTTCAAAACAAGTGCTGCTTAGTTGATGCGTTAAACAAGAAACAAGCACAGAAGAACTTATTTTATGTGAAAACAGACACTCTTGAAAAAGAAAACTGTACTTACAGAAAAGTTACCCTCATAAAAATATATCAAAGGACAGAACTGCCTAAGGTGCTGTGGCCCTTGACAGTTTTTAGAATGTGACTCCAGACGGCAGGTGGCAGTAGAGAGCCAGCTCCACCACACGGGCCTGGAATGAAACTTTTCACATGCCAGGTAGCTTTCAGCGGTGACAAGCATATCTTGCTATCTCACATAACCTAACTCTCTTTCCTGAAAAAGAAACATCAGATACATCCTCCCAGACAGTAACTACTTCCCTCCTTGCAGCAACAAGCCGGGGACTGTCTGTCTTGGAGGCGATCACTGAGTTCTGCCTCCTCCCTGCCTCCCCTGCAATATCATTTGGGAAATTAGTAGAGTGAGCAACGCAGAAGGCACTGGAGCAAAAGCAAGAAGGGAAAACTATACACCTGGATACCATGTATGTATATCATCCAGAATTCATTTCAGGCTGAGTGGTTTTGAAAGGAAAGCAGTGTTGATTAAATAATGCCACATTAAAGGAATTTTCTTCTGCCCATTTGTTTCTCAACAGCAGCTCTTCATGTACAGAATTCCTGTAACTTTTGGGTGGCTGTAGTAAACTGAAAACATTTACCATCATCTGTAAAATCACAGGTAGGTAGCTAACCATGGGTGGTTTTTACTAACTCCTAACATCAACCCTAAAGAAGAAACCATTCAGCCATCGTCTCTACAAAAAGGAGTGAGTGACTGAAGGGAAAGCAAAGTGTTAAATTAACGAAGGCTAATGGCCTGTCACTCCCGCCCGCCCTGCACACTCCAACCTCCACTTTCATCACCAAGCCCCTCGACCAGCACTTTCAAAAAATAAAATTTAGAGATCGACCAACCATTTCAGTGAGTGATCAATGTCCCAGTGGACTAAGAATAGGCTGTGAGCTCTTGCAGGTAGTAAGGGTAACACTGCCTTATTTGTGTTATCTTGAGGTAACAACCTAAAGCCATATTTGTGTTGAGTTAGGAAAGGGGAGTTTCCCAGATCTAGAAGAAGCTGAGCCACCTGATACTTCACCACCTATATTTTCAAAAAGGGGAAGGCAGACGGGAAGGACAACAGTGCAAACGATATCACAGCCGAGCCTGTGTGGACAGCCAAAAAGGGGCAGGGAGAGGAAGACGACGGTCAGTCCCCCCAGCGCAAAGGCGAGAAACAGAGACGGAGAGAAACGAGAGGCAGGGGAGTGGGAGGGAGGCTTTGCCGATAGGTAAACTTCACTGTCTTTACAATTTTGCCTAAATCCATCGATTTTCTGTTAACTGTGCGCAGACAGACAGAGGTGATGACCAAGGTATTTTCACTATGCATGTCACGCAGCTTAGAGGGAATAAAGTAGTGATTCTGAAAAGATGGACCCACACTGATTCTCCAGATGAATAAAGCTGTATCTGTTTGTCCATTTTCTATATTTGGCTTACTCGCGAAAGGACCTTCATTCCAAAGTAAGATGAGAAAAAAGAAAAAAGTGCCTTCCGAGCACAGCAGTGAACCACACATTTATTTCATTCTGAACTGTCAGAACCGACTTCCTCTCAGTATACTCTCCACAATGCTTAATTTATTAAGATTTAGACAAAAGGGGCAAAAGTCTAGTTGAATTACACATGCCACCAAATTTTTATGACAAAAATTTTACCTTATATAAAACTGCTCCTGTTCCCAAGGATAATAAGGAATTGTGAACCCTCCCCCAAAACAAAACTGGGGGCGTGGGGGAGGGGACCAGAACAAAATCACCTGTTTTTTTCCCCCAAACCACCCATAACTCTGTAGATTCTGATAAGCCCCCTCTAGAAGGGCAGTGCTGGAGGGAGCCATGCTACTTATTGCAACCTGCCCCCTCTCTCAAGTGTGCAGAGAAACAAAGGCCAGAGAAGCACTAAGCTGGAGGATCTCTCTCGAAAGGTCATCAATCTACCACACATGTGCAGCTATCAAAGCGGGAATAGAGAGTCAGATGTCACTGTAAATGGCCACAATTCAAAAGAAACTAAAAAAGAAAAATCGAGAAGATGAGATAAAAATGTTCACTTAGGTTATGAATAATAGTAGCATTAATTAGGAATGGCCAAGCGCTGGCGATGATTTTTTGATTATTGCTAAGAGTAATAATCAAAAACTAAAATTATAAGACTGATTCTCTAGGCTTATATAGCAGTCATAAAGAAGTGACAAAATGATGGTCCCTCTGCCAGCAGAGAGCTGGTAACCCAAGTAAGTGAAAGTGGCAACCCACCAGCGGCTGTGCCATCAATGTGGCAGTCTGGAGAACACATTACTTTGAGTAAGTCAAATTCTTCACTTACCATTTGTTAGTCTATCAAATAGAAAGATATCAAAATTCCAATTTCCAACTTTTCCCAGCATACACTGAAATGAAAACCAAACATTCCTACTGTAATTTAATTTCAATAACATTCTCTATCTTTTGTAGATAGTTCATGGAGAAGTTAATGAAAATGGAAAGTGACTGATTTACTTTAAAAAACGCTAAATATCACTGTCCGTTTAATCATGACCTTTCCAATTGGCTCCAAAAAAAAAAAGTCTAAAAGAAATAACTCTATTTAAAAAAAACAAATATTAGTTTTCCAATTAATGAATGTACAGGTAAGGTTACTATTTCTTTTAATTTAACCCTATAGTCCCATGAACTTTCAAGAATTCTAACATAATTGAACATCACAGGAGTGTGGCTCAAATGTTGTATGGTCTAGACACTAGATTTTAAAAGTCAAGTGAAAATAAGTTATAGTAACTGAGTCCTTACTACATTCCCGGTACTTATACTCACTCTTACTATTCATACCAACGCTGTCAGGTAGGCATTGTTTTCAATCCTCATTTACAGATGGCGAAACGGGCAAAAAGTAAACAACTTGCTCAGCTAAAAGTTAATAGAGCTGGGATCTTAAAATAAGTAGTCTGATTCTGGATCCTAGGCACCTGACATCTATTCTATACTATGTTTAAATTATTTGTTATTCGTTTCCTTAAGAAACACTCTCAACTTATTGGTATTTATTTATATCCTTTAAGTATCCTTATAAAATAATTAATAGCATGCACTACATTAATTTTTAGGTATGTATTTCAGTTACACAAATAAATCCCACATTGACTGTAAGAAACAAATAGATTATATTTTTACACTATATATTTGTAACTTGAAAAATCTGTGGACTTTATTTTTAAGAAAAAAGTTTTATCGTTTCCCAAAGTTGTTATACACATTCATGAATAAATCGACATAAGCAACAGCAAGATACTACTAGTAGAGATTAACTATGATAGTACTAACAACCATACATAGACCAATATTTGCATTCTAAAAAAGCGGACCTTGTGAAATTTTTAAGATTTCAAAAAACCATGAACACTCTTCATGGATTTCTTTTATCAAACAGGGAAGCAATTTTTTTCATTTTAATGTCATCATAAAGGTACTCCAGCCATACCTACACAAATTTCAAAGTCTGGCCTATAAATATTAAATAAAAAATAATTTTAAAAGTATTAGATATGCAAGATTATTAAAAATCTCCATTTGGTCAAAAACAAGCTCATCTAACCTTCACCTTCATTAAGACATTTCAAACTACATGAGAAAATAATGCTCACAATCACTGGGTTTAATTAAGAAACATCGAAATCCTCAAAATATCTCACTGATAAAAGAGACTATAAACGATTTGACTTAAAGTCATGAAACCTAACTTCCTGAGTTAATTTACCTCTACATGAATTGCGCGAACTCAAACAAGTGTCTTTTGCTCGTTAGGCCATCGTTTTTATCTACCGAATACAGATTTTAGATCAGATAATCCATAATCTTCTTCCTAGCGCTAATAGTCTGTATGATCTTACAGTTTAATGTTCTACTGATCTACCTGTTATTTAACATTACAATAAAACATTTTCATTTATTTATAATTACTTCAGAAATTTCCTTTGCTCTGTAATACTTAATCATAAAATAAACAGCTGTTCTAAAGGAAAAACCTGAAAAAATGGGCTCAAATAATTTTTGCATACAAAAAAAGGCTCTATTAATCAGTACCATATGGGGTAAAAAAGTATTCATTAAACTCATCAAGAAAATTAACGTTTTCTTGAAAAAGCTATACATACCTTGGCTTGTCCATTATAATCATCATCTAAAATGTTTAGGGAATTTGAAACAGTAGTACCACGAAAAAAGCGTGAAGATCTCAGGTATCGCTGGAAGCTTAGTAACCTTCTGATATTCCTTGCAGACACAGAAACTTCAATTTCAGATTGAGCTGAAATAAAGGTGTAAAAGGTGAGTACAGCAAGATGAGACTACATCTCATATCTCTGTAATATCTTTTTCTAATTATATACAAATACATTTTTTAAATTAACCATTATACCACACCACATTTCTAGGAGAGAAGAGGTGCTTTATTTGTATTTTCAATTAAAGAACTATGAATAAGGGGTAAGTGTCTAACTTTGACAGCATTTAGAAAGCTAATAATGAGGAGTGTGGCTGGACGAATAATCGGTGTTCTAATCATCTCTTACTTTATTGTTTCAATACACTATCTACATATTATGAAGCAGAAAGACAAAATCTAGTTTCGAACCATGTTTCATATTGAGAAGCCAGGTCCCAAGTTACATATGAGACTTCAACAAGTACACAACATCTTAAACCCTAATGAGGTATCATTTCAAATATTTCCTTAGGGTAAATTCATTTAGAAGAAGAGAAAATGGAATGGAAAACAGTTTCTAGCCTGTAAGAGTTCTCAAGGATAGGAATAAAAATTCTGTAGGATGAAAAATTCTAGGAAAGATAGGCTTCCGTGTTGGAGACTGACGTGTAAGTCTAACAGCCATTTTTCTCTCTAGTGTTAGAATAAACCAAAGTTTCTTTGAGCAAGAGACAAAATAATAGACTTGAGTTAAAAGTTATCTTGTAGCGAACATGTTATCTTTAAATTCTAGAATCAAACTAAATTCAGTGAAATGTTCACAGTATAAAACACATGAAAATCAAGACTAAGAATCAACAAATCATTATCTCATATTAACTTCCATTAACTGAGCATCACCAGGTGGAATGCCAGGTAATCAAACATATTTTCTCTTGTGTGTCCAGTCCCTAACTCTTCTATTTTATCTACAAAATAATGGTGAAAATATTTAACTCAGAGTGCTGGATTAAATGAGATAATGTATACACAAGTCAGATACATAGCAAGTATTAAATAAATGGTGGCAATGTAGATGATGATGAAATTGATGTTGATGCCACTGCTTGCAGGGATGCTTCTAGGTAATTACCCTAAGTTCCAAATCTGATCATGCTGTTCTCAAGTATTCATTGGCTACTCATTATCTTATAATGAACTTCACCTCCTTAGCCTGAAGAAAATGCACTACGTTCCAGGTTCTGGCTTGCTTCAAACTTGACTGAGGTTGTCACCTTCCCTGGGAAGCAGACCTGAACACCTACATGCACCATCCACATCTAAGAGAGAGAGGAAGCACCATCCCTGGGTAGTAATTGTCCCCTGTGCACAGACCTATTGTACTACTTGATATCATATTATAATTGCTTATTTATCTGTCTCCTTCATAAACGATGACCTCCAACAGAGGCACAAACTATTTTTTTTCATCTCTGTATTCCAAAGCCTAGTAACAGTACCAAGTAGGTACATGTAAAACATACTATATAAATGTTGAATGCATACTGTTTTCAAAATATTTGATGAGTTTTGAGGTTCCTGTATACTCGCATTAAGCCAGAAATAAAATAATAGACTGTTATGTGGTTTGCTTCCCTCATTTTTCATTCTAGTGAGTCTAAAACAGAAAATATTTTGAACAACTATGGAATTAAATGTTGATCTTTATCAATATAACTCACATTATAAGGACTAGAACCAAAATGGTAAAAAGATTAATATCAAGTGATTATGTATGAACTAGAATTAGTTCAGTGAAAGCAATGTTCCAAGTGCTTTACAAAAAGCATCTCACTTAGCCTTCAACAATCTGCTTTACACATGAAAATACTATTATTATCCTCTGCTTTACACACGAAAATACTGAATCTACAAGACATTAAGTAAGCTGCCCAAGGTCATACAGCCCATAAAGGGTGACAACTGGATTCTAAAACACAGATGTCTGTTTACAAAGCCTGTGTCCACAGTATCAGTCATAAGTTTTTTTTAATATCTTAACAGTATTGTTTTATTATGTTTATTATAAAAGTTAAGTGTACGCCATTCAAAACTGTCCTTACTGGGATGTGTGTGTGTGTGTGTGTGTGTGTGAGAGAGAGAGAGAGAGAGAGACAGAGAGAGAGAGAGAGAGTGTGTGTGTGTGTACATATACACACATACATATATACATACAGAAAGAGAAAAGCTAATGTGCGGGAATGTAAGCATTTAATGTTGGCCCTTCTAGTCTTACTCCTTAGAGAGTAGATCTGGAAGAGACAGAAGGGACTGGCACGAATATATGGGGAGCAGATGGGATCTAATTAATACAATGATGGCACCATCTCCTCTGTATTTACAGGGTACTTTACTGTTTTACAAAATGTTGCAGAAGATACATATTCTATTCAATAAGGAAAAGTAACCTAAAAGAGTTCAAGGTCACGAGCATGACTTCGATTTTTCTTACACACGAAAGATAACTATTACTGGCAATTACATGACATCGTGTGTGTACACGTACATAAGCACTGATAGGATCACTGCTTTCAAATTATATGTCTCAATTAATGCATCCTTGAAGTAAATTTAGAATCTCTTGGGAAGAATAACTGCATAAGATCCAAAAAATGAATGAGCCTCATTTGAGAGAAAAATCCCAACAACTCAATCTACTGTGCTAAGTCCCTGTGTCAACAGGGCAGGATTCAAGGTCAGTGGTTAAGACAGCTGGCATTGTCTGGAAGTAAGGACTCCATCCACAAGGTCATAGTTGTACCCTCCCCCTGCCTTACTCCTATTTTCTGGGTGACTTCTGACAAGTCACAAGTTATCGATGTCTCTCATATTCCTTAACTGAAAAAAACTAACCATAATTCATATCTTTTTCCTCTTTCACAGAGCCTTGAAGTTAGGACTCATTATCAAGAGTTCTGCTTTGACCACGTTAAGTTGAGAATAAATATTAGACATTAACTCAAGGAGTAATGCTCACTCATCACAGGAGCCCGATGCCTTCCAGTAAGACTAATCCTAAAAATAACCTACACTACAGGATAACAGACCTTCGCTTAATGACAGAGCCAGCCTTAACAATTACTGCTTATTTCATAGTCAAGAAAGGACAGAGAACCTGTTCAGATGAAACAGCAAATCATCTAGAGAAAAGTGTTTTCTTCACCCAAAGGGTCTGAGGAGCCTATACTAGAGATGATTTAGTTCTGGAAAGAACTGAAAATCCCATAAGAACTTGCAGAGATGGCAACTAGAACTACCGAAAGCTATGCCTAAGACTTAATACAGGACCAGAACTTGGCGTGTGTGTGTGTGTGTGTGTGTGGCGGGGGGGTGGTGGGGAGGGGATATATGATTTTTTTTCACCAATCTAATTTTTGAATATGTAATGCACTCATGTTCCAAAAAAGAAAAGAAGGGATGAAGGAAAGGAGAGAGGGAGGGAAAAACAGTAAAAAAAACCTCCCCTGTACCAAGGTCCCCATCCAATAGACTGCCAAGCCCACCTTTAAAATGATGATCTTTTCCTTAAAGTTTCTTGGGTATCCTTCCTGAATTTTTTGGTCAAATGTATTTTCCTATTTTCTATTTGTTTTACATAAACAGGAGCATGGCAGACAGCCTGTCCGGCATCTTGGTTTTTTTTTTTGCTTGCCTATCAGCGCCCCTCGTTCTAAGGCTGTAGAGCATTCCATCCTGTGAATGAACCAGCATCTGTTTAACCAGCCTTCTGCTGAAGGGCGTTGCTACAATTTTACAGTTTGCAAAAACACCTTCATTTTGTTAAATATGCTTATATTTCTACACCTTATTTAGATATCACCTTTAATTTTTTTGTTATTACACGAGAGGAAATCACTCGACAGCCCATCTTCTTTCCCTTTTCTCTTCCAACGTTTGTCACCAGAGCACTTATTTTTTTTCTTTCGCTCTAATTCCCACTTTAAGTTCAGCTCTGGAACTGAATATATTTAATATTCAAATCCTTTTCCCGTGGCTTCTTCCTCAGTTACGATTTGCTTAGTTTTGTCCTGTACTGATTTCCTCAAGAAGGGCTCATGAAAACAAATCGCACAAACAACGTATTCTTAAACGTTTAAAACTATTTTTGGCAGTCTTTGTACTTGAAAGTCAGATTGACTAAATATAAAGTTGGTAGCTCTCATTTTTCTTCCTTGAGTTTATTTGAAGGTGTCAGTTGTCTTCTCGTACTAAGATTTGCCAAACTAAGGCAAACCCATTATTTCCCCTTTTAACTGACTTGATCTTTCTGCATGGCTACCCAGAGAATATCTCTTTATCTTTAAAGGACTTTGCTAGGATAGACTTCATGTTAACCATTCTGGGCCATTATCACCTGGTATGTGGTATGCTTTTTCAACATGTCAATTTAAATCTTCTATTATTTCTGAAAAATTTTTCTTGAACGATTTCTAAATATTTATTCTGCGCCACTATTTTAGCTTTCTTATTCAGAGATTCTATTACGTTGAAACACCTTTTCCTGTCTGCTATATCTTGCTTTCTCTCCAAATTTTAACCACCATTCATTTTGCTTGCTTTTCTCATTTCTATTCACTATGCTCATGACCTTGTTTAGTGCATGTTCTATCTTGTATTCCTAACGAATGTCCTCATTTCTGAAATATATTTAAATTTTTGCTCCTACTATGATCTGATTCTGAATGTACGTTTTGTTGTCTTATTACTTCCCTGAGTTCTTGAATTTGTGCTTTACAATAAAGTACTGCTTCATTTAGTTTAAGTGAGCAGCGGAAAGTGTGGTCAATTTTCATGAGTTCAATGACAACACTTTTCCATGAAGAGCTCCTCAATCACTGTTAAGTCCTCCTACTCTCTTCCACCGTTTTCGCTTAATCTAATTATCTGATGCGCCAGTTTCTCTGTTTTAAAGAATCATTACTGAATGGGCTGCATTTTCCTGGACTAACTCTTTATATCAAGTTGCTAATGGGGCTGGGAACTGAGGTCTTAGGAGAGGTCAGGGGAGCCCTGTGAGCTTCACTCCCCAGATGGCCCTCTCCTCCTCTCCCAGAGACAAACTG